CGCCGGGTGGAGCGTCGCTACTACCAAACAAATTCGTCTTCTGAAAATCGACAAGAACGCTAGGTCTTTCTTCAGATCTGAGCTAGGGTTTCACAGTGGGACAAAGCCTCCGCTACTGCTAGAGCCGCCACCTGACGATTCTAGTACAGATCTCAAAACCCAAAACGCGATGTATTCGGCGGTGTCGAACGGTGGTGTTGGTGTTGATCATAACTCTACTTTTTCATATTAGGTTAAAACCTAGGTTGATAATGGCGCTAGGTTAGTTGGTTTAGGGTTTTTTGAAATCATTATTGCCTCTTGTACAGATCTGACGAATCTGATGCCGCTCTCGCTCACATATTTTGTCTTCTTTAGAATCGATGAGCATCTCCGACGAAGGGTGGACATAGGATGACACTAGTGAAGGATGTTAGAGTAGAATGATGTTATAGTAGCCCTCAAACCAGAAAACCCTAGCCAACCTAAGTTCCGGCGACTTGAAGGAAGCTCCAGTGAAGGTGGAGACGAACAGATTGCGTAAAGGTGGTAGTCTGATGACGGTAGTACTCCAACGAGATATTTCTGGTGGTGACAACAAGAACAAGAAGATATATATATATATATATATATATATATATATATATATATATATATATATATATAGAGAGAGAGAGAGAGAGAGAGAGAGAGATAGAGAGAGAGAGAGAGGATGGTGTTGTAATATTGAAAGAGAACGTGTAACATCCCAAAATTCAAGAACAAAAATTTCGTTTCAATTGAGTTATTATATAAAACCAACACTATAGAAACATTCATAGTAATATCTCATGTCAAACCAAAGTGTCAATAGTCAAAACATATTATCACAAAACCATAACAAAGTGTAATCCCCAAATATCTCATGAGCGGAAATCATAATGTGATGCGCTGCGATCGAGTCGGCTCCTTTCTTTGAAAACAAGGTACCTGAAACCAAAACTGAAAGCCGTAAGCACGAAGCTTAGTGAGTTCCCTAGATACCACATACCATACATAACCAAGAGCCATACATATCCATAATCAAGTAAGGTGCTATATGCCAAACATAGTCTTGCTAAGGTACTATGTGCTAAACATAGTCTTGCGGTTATGCCACGGGCCGCACGTGGTCTTCCTGGTCAAGCCTAGGGCCACTCCATCGGTCTTACAAACAAGTGCCAAGGGCCACCCCCTGGTCTTCCATACAAGCATCACCAAGGCAACTATACATACTACTATACTAGGTAACTCAACATATAGTGTGCCAGAAGACACCTCCCAGTCTTTCATACATAATAGCATATAGTGCGCGAAGAGCCACCTCCTGGTCTTTTGTACATAATAGCATACAGTGCGCCAGGAGTCACCTCCTGGTCTTTCATACATATTGCCTAGGGCTAACCCCCGGGTCTTCCTGCCAGTCATAATAACATATTGTGTGCCAGGAGCCGTCTCCTGGTCTTTCGTGCGTAACACCTAGGGATAATCCCCGGGTCTTCCTATCATACATAAACTAAATGGGCCAACATTGAGGCCATAGACCCATAAAAATAGTGAGGAGACTCACCTCAAACTGCTGAAGCTACTGATAACCCTATGGCTGCTATCCAACAACTCTCTGAACCGCTGCTCCTCTAGCTCCCTGAACCACCAATACCAATAATATCAGTTAGCTTAACTGTCCTTCAGAAGTCAACTAGGTCAACTCTGGTCAAGGTCCTTCTCAAGGTCAAAGTCAACGGTCATACTCAACTTCTAGTTGACTCGACTCACTGAGTTGTTCCACCAACTCGTCGAGTCCGTGCTCCTCAAACCCCAAAACAACCTCGACTCTACTCGTCGAGTCTAACAACAACTCGATGGGTTCTCCTTCAACTAAACATTCGAGACCATCTTCAACCAACTCATCAAGTTGTTCTACAACTCGTCGAGTCCATCTTCATAAGCTAAGGAGATTGCCTTTGACTCGCCGAGTTCCTCCTTGAACTCGTTGAGTACCATGATCTTCATGTCCATTACGAACACAGACTTGCTGATTCCTTCTCTAACCCCACTCACTAATCAGACTCATAAACAAAAGGGTTTGGGTTTGCAACCCGACTCGTCGAGTCCATCTTATGACATCTCTATTCTGTCGATTCCAGTCCATCCCAATACCTCCAACTCATAGATCCGAACTCCTTATGCTAGCATTGCACGTAAAGTTGCTAACTTTACATGCATGCAAGGTGTTATGAGGCTAGAACACTTAATCCAGACTACAAGGAAGGCCTTGGTCATGAAATGGGACCTTAGCTGGATAAAGCCAACAACTTTTGAGCTTCTAAAGCTCAAGAGTGTCCAGTTCTGTGTCCAATCCATCCCCAAAGGCTTAATACTCGGATTGACCTAGGAAATGGTCCAAATGTGACCAAATCTATGCTAGAAAGGGGGCTACATGATTAACAATCAAGGTATAAGCTTTTTACATCTAAATTGTTCGAAATGATACCCCAACTCTGGATCTATAGCTTCTTCTTGCACCACCAAGGTCCTTGTTCCTTCTCCAAGCTTCAATTCATTCTCAAGGCAAGAACTAGCTCAATCAATGGAGTTAGGTGGCTAGGGTTTTGGGTTCTGGACGAGAGAGGCTTTAAATGAACCATAGGGAAGAGAATAAGACCTTTAAATAGGGTACCAAGTCCCGGAATCAGGGATTCCTAACCCAGACCAAACTCGCCGAGTCTACTCTCCGACTCGTCGATTCGGTCACTTAACCTTGCACACGGATCCCACTCTGACTCGTAGAGTTCTCCCTTGGACTCGACGAGTTGACTACTTTGACTTATGGTTTTCTTTCCTTTCCGGGTCTTCTGGATTCTGGGTGTTACACAACGGAATGGGTGGGGTAGGTTAATAGTTTTTTTCTTTTAATTATAAAAATATTTAAGTAAATAAAAAAACCAAGAGGGCAAAATATAGTCTTTTCAAATGACAAAATTTGCACAATATTTTCGTTATTTGGACCAACTATGCCATAAAAAATGACCATAAATTGCACTTATTGATACCATGAGGATACATTTTGTAATTTACACATTTATAAATCATTTTTCTCCTTTTACAAGAAAGTCCAATAACACCTTCACAGGTTGTTGATGTGTTAAAATTCCAATTACATTATATATATATATATATATATATATATATATATATATATATATATATATATAGAGAGAGAGAGAGAGAGAGAGAGAGAGGTAGGTTCCGTTGAGATGAAAAATAAAATATAGATCTTGAGATTCAACCTCAACCACATACTTCACATCTGCCACACTAACTCTCCGGGGTACCGGTGCGGCAACCATGTTATAATCATAAATGATTATATAGCGTCGCTCGTTCCTTTCTCCTCCGCCACCATTGCCATCACCACAACCACCACCACCTGTAACGCCCGTAGATTCGGGCTAGTCAATTTAGAGACAATAAGCGTCAAAAATGACTTTTTGATAGAAGATTATTTAGGATGAATAATCCTAACTAAGTTGTAGTATATGTTACAAGGTTTTCGTGCATATAAAGAACGCCAAAATCCGAGTTATAACGAAGAAGTTACGACTTGTTAAAGTTTCGCGACAGAAACGGCACAACGCTGAATGACGTAAAAAGTGAATTTACGTTAGAGTGATATTTAGCCTTAGCGATCTAAACGAGAATCGAAGATCTCGTTGTTAGTAGCAAAACGACGAAAAGTTAGGCAAGAACGGACGTCGGACGAAGAAGTTATGAATTTATAACGAGATTTTCTATCCCGACCTATTAAAAATAAATAATAAAAATAAAAGTCAAAATTAGCCGACGGAATCTAAACAAAAGTTGTACAGCGTAGTCTCACCTTCGCGTGGATATAAAGAACGTCGAAAACGGAGTTCGTATGAAGGAGATGAATTTTCGAAGTTTATTAAATCATTAATAATTAAAATTAATTATTAAACTCCGGCATTATCCGAAGAGTAGTCAGCAGTTCGATCCGAAGTACGCCCCGCGTACAGCGAAGCATGACGACCTTCGCACTCGAGTTCTTCGGATGACGCATGCAGTGACGAATTCGGACGCGTACGCCTGTACGCCCCGCGTACTCCGAGGCTCCAGCCTCCTATAAAAAGGATGCGAGGGCAGCCGGTTCTTTTGTTCATTTTCTCTATTCTCTCTCCCGTTTTGCCTCGATTTGCGTGCTAGAAATACCCCAAAGCCCCGATATTATTCTCGAGCCCCAAAGCAAGTCCCGAGATCCCGAGAAGTGCGGTTCCCGAGCCGAAGCTCTGCCCGCGAGAAGTTCGATTTTTGTGGAGATCTTCCAAATCTACCGAAGAATACTACTTCTGCAAGTCGTAGTGCTGTCCAATCATCTTCTGATCAAGTGAGTGTATACTACCTTTCATAAACACGATAATAATATAAGTATGGTTTGAGTGTATCAAGTTTATTGTTGTTTATATGTGTAAGTGTGTAGTTACTTTCTTCTAACACATAAATATGACATATTTGCTATGAGATACGTGCTATGTGTTTATATGTTATTTGTCTATTTGAGATGAGCATGGAAATTGGAGTTTTATACAGGTGTTAAATGATTTAAACTGTGTAAGTATTTATATCTACAAAATTGTTGGGTAGAACATAGGTAGACAGGATAGTTGGTGACTATGGAGTTAGCGCCTATTGTATAAACCTTGGTGACGATGTGACTTCGTGCATATTTGAGTAAACCTTGGCGACTATGGAGTTAGCGCACGTTGAGTAAACTTTGGCGACTATGGAGTTAGCGCTTGTTGAGTAAACCTTGGCGACTATGGAGTTAGCGCTTGTTAAGTGAACCTTGGTGACTATGGAGTTAGCGCCAGATAACTATGGATTTAGTACTTGATA